GTCGGCGACGTTTTTTCTTGATCATCAAATGCGACGAGTCGAATTGCATCGGGGCCGAGCGGTTTGTATGGAAACCGTGACATCCGCGCTCCCATGTCGGCCCAATGGTTGAAAGTCTGGCAGATGACAGCGTTGCAGGACCCCAGGTCGTTGGAGGAGTCTGGCAATGCCAGTGCCTTATCTAGCAGGTTGCTGTTGCATGGTAGGGAAGTCGGAAAAAGCCTAGCTTTCCCGTGTCCGCCTGATGCACCTGCAGGCCGAACGCCTCGTGCGGCTGAGCTCACCACGGCAGGTGAACGTCCTTGGGAGTGGCTATCATTCCACGAGGACGAGGGTTTCCCCCCGCAACCTCAAGGCCCAGACGGTCTTGACCCAGACCACTGCACATATAAATCACACACTTCTCTCTCCAAGCAACAGGGTCCCCGTTTCCGAACTCGTGTCCATCTCGACGTTCCATCTCTCACAAGATCTACCACCCTTCGCGCCGCTGCACCGCCATCATACGTGAATGTCGGCGCCCAATGGCAGCCAACGTGGGCAAATACCCGTGTGCTTGCACTACCACCAGACGTCCGCAGAAAAGACCGCTCGACAGGAAATCCCCAATGGCGTCGAGCAGAATCCAAATCGGGATACCACACCCTCATCTGAACCGGCCTGTTTCGGGTTGGAGGTTTGACATGCCGAAGAATGCGGAACAGGTGATTCATGTTGCTGCAGTGACTCGCACACCAGCCGAGATTCAACGCCTTCGTCGATGTCTCGAGGAGCCGCTTTCTTCCCGGCATTCTTTGGTTCCGGCTTCTCGCTGGCGACTTTCTAGCCCGTTCCAACGTCACCAGTCAGTGACGATAGGCCGTCTATTATTTTTTGGGATTTGGTTGAGAATGATGTTTGAGCCGGTGGCCGTTCTCTCAGCCAGGTCGAGGAGAAGGTCGAAATCGATGTGCACCCCGGAGACATCCTCGCGGGTGACGGCATGAACTAGCGAACGGATAGTATCCGACGACAGCGCATGCTTCGCAAGCCCGTCGAGAGCTCGCTCTGCTCCAGGGTCCGGATCCACCCTTCTGCCCCTGTTAGCTCTGAGCTCCTCCTCAACGTATTGCTTCCAGAGCCCTCTGCGGTTATCCAGGGTCGGATTCTTTTGCCCGTCTGCGAAGCTAAACCTTGCGCAAACCCGCTCTTCGATCTTCGGGTCCAGGATCCAGTCATCATCCGGCAGAGCGAAAACGACGATGCCCCGGAACTTGTCCAAGAACCGCAGTGCTGCTGCTACGACTGTGACATGGAGGCTTCCCCAAGGGCGATCGCTGGAGGAATATGCCCCGAGAAGGTCTTCGATGACCACAATACACCGCCACTTGGCTGGCAGAGATTCGGCTTGTCGAAAGATCCTTCCTGCAGATGCGGCTTCGCTTTCGGTCGAGATTTGGATGCGATATACTGGGCTGTGCACCAAGTTGGAGATGGCATCTATGGCATCGCTGGCGGCTGGCCCCCGGATGGTCATCACAACCATAGGCCCGAGCAGCAGGCGCTGCAAGAACTCCTTCTTCAAGTCGCCCAAAACCGCATCTTGTGCTTGGCCCCATTGCCGAGATACCCATTTGACGTTGTCCACCAACAGTTTCTCCCACACATGCTTGCGCAGGTGGAAGCCATATACCACATGGGGTTGGCATGCGAAAAAGCGACCAATGCATGTTGATATGCCATCGCGATCCATCAGTGCTTCATGTTCTTCCCAGACCGTGTCTCCCTTGTACGATTCAGACACCGAATCTGTCTTGTCTTCCCAATTCGCCATGAACTCGCTGTCGAGATCGTCGCTGTCATAGTCTCTGTGGAAGCGCGACTCCCGCGGTGTGCGACTCACAGGTTGTTGATGAAGCGCCTCGTACGTGTCGCAATCGATAATGTAATGATCAAGGGGCTGGATGAAGGTTAGCCGGAAGGTCTTTGGTTGCGCACATCAGAAGAGTACACTTATGTCTTCGGTGTCTGTTGACGTCTTTGAATCGCATGTCACCAAATGTACTCCGTGTTCCATCCTCGTGTACCTCCAGCCGCGGTCGACGAGATACTGCTTAATTGGAGCGCCGGCAGACCCAACCGGATAGATTGGGAAGTCACTAATGTTGGCCTCCTGACCGGAATTGGGAAGCTGAGAACGAAGAGTATAGAAATTCCTTGTATCCTGATCTCTGATATCATGGCGGACCTGCACAGTCGACCGGTCTAGCTTGTCTGTGACCGTGATCTCAGCGACTTCCAGGCGCTTCCAGTCTTCGGTGTGTGTGAACCGAACCGGGCCAACTTGTACAAAGGCGCGGGCATGGTCGTCACCTTCAAACTGCGGTACAATCACCACACCACCTGGAGGCTTCCGAGATGCATCTACATCAGCATCACGTCAAGTGAAAACTGGCGAGAAATTTCTGGGACTTACAAAGATCAGCGGCAAATGTTCCCACTTCACCGACTTGGAGTGTTTGAGCGAGATATCCAGTTGTTTGTAGCTGGCGGCCATACAACCCTGGATGCACTTCAAGAGCATGACCAATATGCTCGGCAACTGAGACCAGCTTCGTCCTTGCGTGAGTCCTAGGTAAATCTTGCATGGGCCCAGGTTAGATGAGATTATGCGATTGACCAAGAGCCGGTTGTGATAAAACCACTCGTTAGGAGAGCGAAATTCCATGGCTGGACGGAACACGGGAGGCTCTGCTTCGAGATCCAGTGAGTTCAGAACCGAGCACAGTGCATCAGACATGAGGTAGATGCTTGATTCCGTCGATTCTGCCGTGCGGGCGGTGTCCATGTCATGCGAGCACTTGTATTCTCTGAAGACGAGAAACGCCAAGTGACTGTTCTGTTCGAGGTACGACTCGATGCTGTGGAGAGGCCGTTTCCCGGAGAGATGCAGCGGTATCGGATCGCGAAAGGGAGTGTAGCTGTCGATCACAAGCCACTGGCGGTCCGTCCCACTCGCAGCTTGGTAGCTCGGCTCGTCGAAAAAGGTTGCGGTCGGTTGTGAGTCGCACAATACTCGATGCAAGACTTGGTACTGGACGTCCTCTTGGACCTTCATCTTGTTGGAGGAGCCAGGGTGGTCCAGAAACTCCCAGCTTTCGTGGTTGATGTCGGCTGAGGCTGCCACCGACGGCGCTTCAATCGAGTTATTGTCGTGTCTCTCCCGAGGCTCAGCATCGAGTTGGTGTTCATCCTGTATTTGGGAGAGCCGCAGACTGGCGGCATCTGCAACTGGGTCTCTGACGCCCATGCGAGCAATCTCGATTGTCTCAAGCTCTTCGACGTCGATGATGGTACCGACTTGTTCCCGGACCAGATCTCGTTGTCGCTGCAGAACGTTCAGCTCAGTGGTGAGGATTTCGAGGTCATCGTTTAAGTCTTTCAGGTGCTGCACTAGGTCCGCGAACTTCTGTTTGTCTTGTACCGCCCAGCGAATGGCCGTCGACAGCGCAGGAGGCCTTGGGAAGGGTGGCCAGGGCATTTCAGCAGCGGCCGGCACTCTGATCAAGCTCGAGGTTCGCATCTGCAGTTTCGAGGCGAGTTTCCCAAGCACGGCCGAGGCGGTGAATCTGTTCGAGCCTGGCTATATACCATGGGGAGATCGTAGCGGCTGCACAGTTTCTTGTGGTCCTGGAAGAGAGCAGCCATGCGCTGCAGGGTCGATTCGACTGCGAGGCTGATATGCTCGTCCCATGGCGGATTTGCCCAGCCGTTTTCGTTGGGGAGTCCGCATGCTCGGCCCCAGGTGAGAAATCGAAGGCGCTGGTTTGCAAACTTGGCCTCCAGAATCCAGTAGTCGTACCCAAAGTACCGGCCTTGCTGAAACAATGTTGAAACACTCAATGCAAGTGGTGAAGAGGCCGAGGATGCCGACAGCGAGACCGACGGGCTCCATCTTGGAGTGGGTGAGGGCTCATTCTGGAGTTTCAGCGATGGAGTTTGAGCGAGGCGATACCAGAGGGGAAAAGGGTTCAGTTTCGGGGCATCAACCAAGCCTTGCGCGCATTGCTGCCTCGTGCCCTCCAGGAGCTGAAGCGCCCTTGGCCGACTGCTAGCGGCAGACCGAGCAACCACAACCAATGCCCTGGCGGCATCCATGTTGAAGTCATGACATCGCTGAGATTGCATTGGTGGCTGATGCGGGCTGGGCCCCCAAGCTTCAGGTCGACGCACGATATGCCATGCGAGAGGAGTAGACTAGATCAGATGTTGCCGCGAGGTCGTAATTGAATCGCCAACTGCCGCGCCGTTCTGCCTCGCCTCAATCCGGGCCTCTAAGATTAAGTCGCATTGAGTCAATGCCACCGTAACTCGGGGCATTGCTGAACGAACTGGTTGACTGGGCTGAGATGAAGTTGAGATGAATAAGTCGAGGTGAATTGAAGTCGAGGAAGGAACTTGGATTGAAACCAAAGTGCAGTGGGTCCCGTCGAGATGGAACTGAGCTCCGACTTCCTGCTCCGTCCCCAACAAGTGGGAAGGCACAACCTACACCATCTTTGGAAATTATTCTGTTTTATTCTTTTCTCTTCTTTCCTCCTGGCCTACTCTTTGACATCCTTCCATCTTGCGTTCTGTTTGTGCTCTGCTTTGCTCTCAGGCTCTCTGAACGAACTCAGCAGCCCAGGTTTAGGCGTCAGCCGGTACCGACTGCATAGTACGTACTTATCGTACACGAGACGTACGATTCTAGAGGCATCCAAGTTGCCTTTCTTCCCGCCAACTACCTACATCCGTTTACTCCATCTCCCATCAATGCCAACGAGATGATATGTGAGCCGGCCGTGCTTTGGCAAACCGACGAGGCCGATATTTTCACGTTGAAGTTGCTGTAGCACGTACGGTACGTGCGAAACGTAATTTACCTACCTTATCCGGCTGCACAGTCTGAATATTCAAACTGACTGCATCGCGCCCCCCCAGTCACAGAGAACCTGCAGTTTTACCCGCCAGCAAGTAACGGGTGACTAGTCTAGTGGTCAGGACGCTTCGTTGTGGTGGATATCCGACACAAACGATCCGAAGAAACCCCGGTTCGATTCCGGGGTCGCCCATCCATTATTACCTGGCGATACCTCATGTCAATGGTGTCGTCGATTTTTTCCCCCCGGCGTCTCTCTGCTTGGATGGAGCCCTGAGAGCAACGGCATCCGCGAAACACGCCGGGCGGCACCGATGGAGATCATGATGGATGAGGAGTCAACTGTAGGCCAAGGCAGACTTTTTAGGCTCACTCCATCGGTATCCTCACTCGCACAATACTTGCAAATAGAGCGCGATGCTCCCACCAAGTTAGGTATAGACACACTAAGTATTAATATTCACGGGTATACTAAAGGAGCGTAAGAAGCTACATGTCGAGTCAGTTTTTTCGTCAAGACATCCATCCATCCATTTCCCTTCCCAAAGCTCTCTGCCTCCCCCGAAACCCAAGAAATCTTAGCACCCATCCCACTTGGGGCACTTGCCCGCGCCCGTGACCCCCTTGTTCTCCTTCAAGCAATCGATGTACTGCGCCTTGCACTTGTATACGGCCGAGCCGTACGAGTCATTCCACCGGTACGTCCTCTTCTCGACGGCGTGGGCAAACTCAAAGTAGCTGGCGCTGGCGCTGGTGTCGCGCCCGCGGTGGCCCTTGCGGCGGCAGCCCTCGGCGTAGACGTCGACGCAGTCCTCGTACTGCTCCTTGCAGGCGTCGGCGCAGGCGCCGCCGCACTGGGAGCGCTGGTACTTGCGGCACTTGCGGCTGTCGACGTCGTTGTACCCCTTGAACGGGTAGCGCGGCCAGTCGTCGGCCAGGTCGTTGCACGTCACCACGGGCATCTCGATGCCGCCCACGGGCTTGCCTGGGCCGTAGCCGTAGTGCTTGCTCGACGGCTGCACGCAGATGTTGGTCGGCGTCGGAATCGGGCACTTGCTGGTCGACGAGGACTTGGTGGTGGTGGTGGTGTTGGGGCCATTGGTGGTCGTCGTCGCCGGCGCGCACGTGGTGGTGATGGTGATCGTCGTCGGGGGCTTGGGACCGCCCCTGGGTGGCTTTTTGCCCCAGAAATCGCCCTTGCGGCAGCCTCCCCACGGCTTGCTGTCGCAGTACTTGGAGATGTCGGAACACCACTCGCCAAAGTCGAAGCAGTCGAGCACGTCGGGCCACCCGGCGTGCTTGAAGCACGAGGCCACTTGCAGGGCGCAGGTAGACCAGGCGTTCTTGCACGTCTTGACGTCGTCCCAGTCGGGCAGCGGCGACGAGCACCACTTGCCGCACTTGTATTCGCACTCGGGAGGCACCACGGTGGTGCTCACGCAGGCAGAGCTGCTAGTAGTCGTAGTCGAAGTAATGGGGGTGGTGCTGGTCGAGGTGATTGTCGACGTCGCCGCCGAAGAGGTGGTGGAAACGATGGACGAAGACGTAGAGCTCTCGGGGGGGACAGAGGTGGACGTGGACGACGACGGGGGCAGGGCGGTGCTGCTCGAGACGGGCGGCTCATAGCCGCAGGGCTGCAGCGACTGCAGCTCGTCGGCCACGAACAAGGTCAGCCGCGCGCTGCCACCGCAGGTCTGGGCCGGGTTGCCGTTGCAGGGCTTGTCGCACTCTCCGGCAGGGACGGCCGAGGTATCGTTGGCGAGAACAGTTCCGCAATAGCACTCGCCTGTCGACGTTGTCAGATGGTTCCAGGCAAGGGCAGAAAAAGAAAAAAAGAAAAGAACAATAGAAGAAAAGGGACAAACAGGGCTCAGGACATACCACCAAACTCGGTACCGGCAAAGGGGAAGCCGCCGTCGCGGCAGGCTTGCAGACACTTCTCGGTGGTGAGAGTGGCGCCGTCGAGCTGGTCCTGACGGTAGGCCAGGGCGCGGCCCACGGGGGAGTCGTCGGTGTAGCAGCCGATGGGGTCGTAGTCCTCAATAGTGACGTCCTCGACGGGCTCGAAGGTAGGGTCGGTCCAGACGGAGAAGATGTCGTCGCCGCCACAGGTCTGGGTCGAGTTGCCGTTGCAGGGGAGCTTGCACTCGGAGTCGGCAACGGCAGGGCCGTTGACGGTCTGGCCGCAGTAGCACACGCCGTAGTAGACGAGGCCGGCATAGCGGTAACCGCCGCCCTTGCATTCGGCCGTGCACTTCTCGACCGTCATGGTGTCGGACGGGGCGGAGCTGCGGTAGGGCAGGATCTGCGGGCTGCCCGTGTCCTGGAAGCAGCCAGAGTAGACGAAGGGCTGGAAGGGGTCGAGGCAGGGAGGCAACGGCCTCTCGGTGGCCTGGACGTGTCCGACCAGAGCCACTGCCGCCATGGCGGCCATGGTTCTGAGAGCGGCCATTGTTGGGGGAAACGAATGTGGTTTTACTGGAGCCGGGGCAACAGCAGGGTAGGTGTATTATGAGGTAGGGGGGGAAAGAATGGATGAACAAGGAGAGATCTCGAGATCTTCACTTGCTCTGGTCGGTTGGTTGGAGGATGACCCTGGAGAACCAAGGGGAGTGTTTCCCAGGTGTGGGGGACAGGTGCTTTATGTAGGTATCCATCGCCAGAGAGGGAAGAGGCATACTTCCATCGACTACAGTTAGTATTGGACTGGGGCCGGCAAGCGACGGCTGGGCGCTAGCTACCCTCATCAGTCCCGTCGGGTTGACAGTGTGAAAGGCAGAGAGAAGCTTGGCTCGCAGGTCTCGGACTCCACGACCCAGGTCCACACCCGGTGCTGCCGTAACATGGTGGCTGACCCCCGGCATTTTCTGGAGCTCAGCGGCTGCCAAGGTGCTCAGACGAGCTGGACATTCTCGACGTGCAGATGCCGAGGGTTGCGGAGAAGGTGTTGGAATCGGTGCAAAAAGTAAAAATGGACCATGAAGAGGAGGTGGAGTATTCGTACCCTGGAACCTATTCCAAGGTAACTAGCTCACAGCTCACCGCATGCCCCGAAGGCGCTAACGTGGTGAAACGAGCCATGCAGTCCACGGGCCACGGGTCATGGAAGAAGAGCTCATGGTCTCATGGAAAGCATGGCCTTGTTGGAGGTCAGCTCGGACGACCAGGCCAGCACATGGGTGCAGCTCAATCGGGCAGAGGGGACATGGTGGAGATCAAAGCTCACGCCAGGGAACCTCTGGAACAGGAAAGAAAAGCGACCCCGGCCGCCCTGTCATGGCGCCGATTGGGCGAATGCTCCGTACCTGCATTAGTGGGTGGGTCAGGGCTGGAATATCTGGCCAGCCCCGCGCAGCTTGGACCCCGAATTTCCCGACCACTCACTCCCGTTGCCACCTTCCATTCCCGATCTCCCGTCACGGTGAGAGAGAGCTTCCATCTCTCCAATGCCGACAAGAATAGGTGTTGCAAAGCAGGAGTGCCTTGGAAGGGGCCTTGTCTTCATTCACAAATCACTGCCCTCGCCTCATGAGCGGTAGACTGCAATGGCCCAGGAACCCGGCTTCTTTCCCTTCAATGTTACGCATAATATTTTTAGACGACAAAGACCCGAAGCCTTTGACGCCATGAGGAGAGACGCGCAGGTAATATTGAAGTTCTGCATAACACTGTTCAGTGCGTCTCGCTGACAGCTGCTGTGTCCAGCCCGCCCGTGTCTGCTCTCGTTTACCTGCATGGTCAGACAGCATGCCGCTGCAACAGTGATATTGGCGCGCAGGCCCCAATTTCTGATTCATTTTGCTCACGTAACTCGAACCACCTGATATTGGACCCAGGCTTGGTGCAACCGCAACGTGACGCTCGAAAAGGGGGGACGAGGTAATAAAGGGGCTAAAAGACCCTGGCTTTTGAGAAGAAGGGTGAAAAGGTGAGGAATGACAACTCGAAATATATTTCTCTTGACTCCGTACTACACGTCAGTAAAACTGTGTCTTGTTAAATTTCCTTGTGAGTCCTCGTCGCAATGAATCACGATGTTTCCCCGGATTCTGTTTGACGCCACAAACCGCCATGGCCTTTGTTGGCTTCCATGTTGCCGCATGGCCACTCACTTCTTGGCGCAAGGGCTGAAAGTCCGACCCGCTAGCAACATGGAACGCCCGGCAATCCAAGCTGTCAGCTGGGCAGGCGTCAACTCTCCACTGCACTACCAACTGACCTCCACTGGGCTTTTGACTTCGACACAGGGCAATCCCTCACTGGGACGGCCATGACCAAGTACGTAGGTACATGTAGCTCTCGCAAGCATCGCCTAGAACTTCCAGATCCAGAGGCTGAGCACGGATGCACCCACTCTGACTAGAGAACCAAAAGGAAGTCTAGTCCGTCCAAGAGAACCCACTGCAGACACCCGATTCTGTGATAGATGCACCACACAGATGACAACAGATTTTCGGGCAGATGGATAATGGATGCCGGTGCCAGCAGCGACCTCGCAACAAATTGCTCGTGCATACGAAGCTCCTCTTCTTGCCGCCCCATAGCCAAATATTGACCCTTTCTTTAGTTTGCTTCAGGTGAGTGAGGCTGTGCTGCCGTCCTTCCCGCCGGTTCTTGGCGGGCTATCTGGGAGGCTTTGAATCACATTGTAAAATCTTTCTCGAGTTGCCTTGAGCAGAGAAAGACCCAGGCGTCATTCAAGGGCTCCTCCGGGAAGAAACAAACGGGACATTGTTTCGGCAACTCGCGATGTGCGAGACACCCCGATGACAACCAGATCGAAACACGTGTCAAAGAGCTCCCGTCTGTCATGCCTCGAACGGATACAATAGTGAACAAGCTTAGCCTCTCTCCGAAAACAAGGAACAAGACCGTCCAACAAGTTCGATTCTCTCAAACGCCGTCCCTTTCACATGGCCTCGACCTTGCCAAAAACACAATCCAGGCCCAACCACGCGACGCCGATCCCCGATGCCGATCCCCGCTGCGGCTCCACACTATGGATGAACTCCCGGATCTGCCGAAGGGGACGACGATCCCTTCCCTCGCAAGCGCGGAGCCGCCTGTGCGTGCAGTGGCCATCCACCACCATCAGGCAGGGGGCATCACATCACATCACCTATGGACATGCCGGTTTGTCAACAGCCCCCAGATCGCAGACAGAACAACCCACGACATGGCATCTTGCCCAGC